CACTCTCTCTCTCAGCGCTAAACTTTTAACTTGCAGGCGATCATCGAAAGGATGTCAGAGCTCGAGAAGCTAGAGTGATGATGGTTTCTGAAGAAGCACTTCCTACCTGCTTTATGTGTGCTTGTCAGGATGTTTTTTTTTTGTCAATTCTTCGTGTCTAGAGATTTGCAATGTATTTATTGAATCGGCAGTGGCGATTGATACAGTTTTGAATACTAAACTTTTTAAGCTCTCACAATTAAATACGAGTTTCGACTTATTTAACCACAAGTATAACAAGTTTAACACCATTGATATGGTGATAAGGATCTTTACCCAAATACAACGCATGTATTATAAAAGACCAAAGGTTTACTCTATCAATTCTTACTCAAATGCTCGTTTCATTGCTGATACCAGTTTTGATATCACAGTTACGGTTTCAAGAAGCTCAATCGAATCAGATTTCAACTGCACTGTGATATCATCATAGCTAAACCTCACAATGATGGGGGAAAAAAGACCAGCATTATTTGCATAAGATATGATGCGTATGGTACATTTTGTGAGATTTTCATAGCCGGCATGTGCCTGTTGAGAGGACATAAACCAAATCGATAGCAAGCATGTCGGACTATCAACAATATAGAGGTTAGCAAACGTGAACCTCTATATTTTCATACGTGAATCAGTTTCTCGGATCAGCTTTAAGGATCTGTGTAATAAATTCTGTTGCCATCTCTGCTTGTGTCTCTGCCATGTGCTGTTATCTCTGTTTCGGTAAGTAATTTAAAAGCCTATATATGATGCCAATATCCTTCTCTATCCTCAATTGTGTAATTGATAGGATTAAGGATGTATAAACTGTTACATTTCGGTGACCAGCACTGAAACATGACAACTCCTCTCACCACTAGCAACTTAAGTCTTTGCTAGCTCCTGAATCAACCAAAGACTAACCAATATAGATACATAAGAACTCACAGGACTAATCAGTAATGTCTCTGTCTTGCCTAATGCACCTATGGTTCTGCTTAATAAGTCTATAGAGTAATGTATTCACCTTTGCTTGACGGGTTTCGGAAACAATGCAAATCACCAACTAAACTATCGGTAACGATTCAGTAGCACCATCTCATCTCAAAGATGCAAAGATTTGAACATCTCTTTAACCTAAGGCCTCATATTCTATTCTACCATTCCAGAAAAGAAGCTAAATAAACAAAACTATCAACAGTTATACGGATAAATCCCATCAAATTCATTAACAATCTGTAAATTTGACAAATGTTGAAGATCTGATCTACAAGAAACTTGTGACCAGGTAACAGATTGCAACTTCCATGGCAAAAAAAAAAAAAAAATAGACAGTAAGTGAAATAAGAAACGAGGTCATATCTTTGTCTTCTTCGACTTCACAGGACATTTAAGAAGGGGATCCTCACCTTCCCCTTCATCATCAGACAAGCTTTCGACAACATCATCGGCGACATCATCTGAAACATTATGATTTGTGATAAACTCCTTGAGTATCCTCATACTTTCTTCTTTCATCGAAACCAATTGCTCCAAGACAGTAGTACCCTTGTTTGCATCGATGGTGTAGCTCTCTGTACCAAGCCTGAATGCGACTTTAACTAGAGGCTTCGCAGGGATTGAATCGTGAGTCTCAATCTCCATGTCGACCCTGCAGTTTAGGAAGAACCACCAGAGTCACGTTCTCTGATAGATCTCGAATCAAAACTATAGAAAGATGGAATAAAATCTTAGAGAAAATACGATGAAATTAGGCTTTGGTACCTCAACTCAATCCTGCTGGCTGTTTTTCTCTCTTCTGTCACCGCTGGAAGAAGAAGGAAGAGGCGAGTGAAGCCGACAATTATTTGGTGGTTTGTTTTCACATTTTTATCAAAGCACAATCTCAACCAATATAATGCAATCAAACCCACCAATCTATATGTCATTAGGGTTTCTCAAGAAAAGTAGATTTATATATATATTTTTTTGGTTGAAATGTTAAGATTATATACCATGAACGAAAAAGTTACTAGTGCTAAAGCATAAGTTTAACTTACCCTTACAACTTATACCAATCCATAATTGGAGCCAAGCAAGATAAAATTGAATCATATCCGATAAGAAATATTGTGGGGGTTCTGATACCATTTATTGGGGCTTTTAAAGCCCATGTCCAACTCTCCCATTAGTATGATATTATCCGTTTTGGGTCCAGAGGCAAAGCCCGCACGGATTTGTTCTTGGACTCCTTCCCAAAATGCCTCATACTAATTAGAGTTGGATATCTCTTATATATTAGACAATTCTTATATAAACTTCCGATGTGGGACTTGGATTGATATCCCAACAAATACAAATAGAGTAAAATTAAAGGAGAGAAGAAAGTTATTATCTCTTAGAAGATTGGGAGCTAGGTTGCAT